CTGTTTATGCTTATGTTTTTGTATTAACGATGACATCCCAACGTTTTGAAAATGAATAAAATACATTTCTTCGCAAATGCTTTGATAACGCATTTATCATGTTTTTCTGGGAACAAATTCCGCAACATTTTTATTAAAAAAAAGTACTTTGATTTTTATAAAGCATAAACAAAATCGGTCTTTTCTGGCCGTGAAAATGGGGATGTCACAGTATAGGACCATTCTACCCCTAACCTAGCCTTGTCCAAATCCATGACCCAAACTACAATCTGAAAGGCCTAAAGGCCCACTAATCAACCAATGGCCTAATTTTCCAAATTGGGCCCAAACCCCATACATGGCCTTGCCTTAAGGGCCAACCATTCTTTCTATTCCAACACTTTGTATCTCGATGGCCCATTAATAACTCAAGCCCAAATTCCATAAACTACTAGATCCATAAAAGCCCACTGATGGCCTAATTTTCTAAATTGGGCCCAATTCCATATGGGCCTTAACCTAAGCCCATAATTTCCGTAATTACAGTTCAGATCACCTCAAGACTTCTTCTTCAAGCCAAGAAACTCCTAATTCCTTAGCTCCTTCAACATGCACCAAAAATGAACACTCAAGGCTCTCCCCGAGCTCACACACTAAACAATGGAAGTTAATGCTCGATTTAGGTTTTCTGGACAGAGGAGGCTGGTAAAGAGGCCAACCAAGGGACTTAAGGCCTTTAAATAGGGTGTAACACCCTAAAAATTAGGGTTTCTATAACAGCGTCCAACTCGTCGAGTTCCCTTCACTAACTCGCCAAGTTGGTTCATAAAAACGTGCGTCCCAAAAGCCTCCAACACATACACATACATATACATACATACATATATACATACATACATACATAAACATATATCATCATCGCATACATACATAAACATACACATACCTATCGATCATATGTTGTTTATAAAATTTGTAGTTTATTTATTTTAATTTTTGGGTTTTAATGTACACCTTCTAATTTTTTTAATTAATTAACAAATTAATTGTTAAATGGATAAGAATAAATGTGTGAATGTATATGAAAGGGGTAACAGATTGAAAGGTGCAGACGGCTAAACATATACACATACACAAATATACATTTACACATAGATTCACATATACCCCTAATTTTGGGGTTTTACACCTTATTTAAACACCTTAAGTCCCAAGTTTTGTCATCATTTCTAGCCTCCATAGCCTCAAACCCTAATCTCGAAACCGTAGAGCCTCCTTGAGTGATGCGAGCTTATTGTGGGTGTGTTTGAAGCTCATTGAAGGAAGGCAATGATGATGATGATGGCGTTGATGACGATGATGATGCCGACGATGATGACGACGACGATGATGATGACGATGATGACAATGATAATAACGATGATGATGACGACGACGACGGTGGCGGTGATGATGATGATGATGGAGATG